CGGGCTGCTGGCTCTCCTCCTCCCGGCCGCCGAAACCGCTCGAGAAACCCCGCGGAGGGTTCCCCACGCGCACCTATCCCGCATGCCGCTGCTCCCCCCTTCCTCTGGGACAGAAACCAGCCACATTTCTGGGTGTTCCTCAGCACACGTGCGGCACGGAAACCCTAGTGCGGTGGAAGCATCGCAGGGAGCTGCAAACTGTGGAAATCCACGAGCCTGCACTCATTTATTCAGTGTATACTCAGTGAGGTTCTACAAGATTAGCGATGTTTCAAGAGAAATGTTGTCTTGCTTTGAAATAATATGGATCTTAAAGTGTTAAAATAGAGTGGCCTTTGGGGAAAAAATTGTATAATTGGAGTCTTGGACAGCGCAAAGACAAACTGAAAGGCAAAGTAAGAGTCTGAAACTTAACGTTGTAATATTTATTTAAACATCGAAGGAAACACCATTCGCAGGACTTTCAGCGTGTCCTCCAGTTCCGTATACCGCCTCGTTTTTCGTTGCAGACAAGCGTCTTCAGACCCCCCAACAAACATTTATACAAAGCAATTTCAAAAATTGCCAGGATATACACCAGTCCGCTTTCCAGCCCAGCCTAGCACGTCTTAAACCTCGACTGGAGCGGTCAAAATACTTGGAGGGGTTTGAAGTTAAAGACAGCTTTCTGCAGCTTTTCCAATAGGTTGCAAAAGTTACAAGCGAACTGCGCCCGAGGTGCTCTTGCTAGTGCGATACCGCCTGGAACAGCACCTTCCGCTGTCACCCCGTCCGCTCGAGCTGCAGGATTTTGGCTTCACCTAAGGACACACCAGCAGCAAAACCACCAAAACAAAAAGTGCCGACCGCACCATAGCTCGTCGCAAGTGGGATTTATTTCCTGTCCGACTTCGTTCAACAGACGATTTTGTCAAAACAGAAATACGCACAGAACGAGCAGCACCTAAAGCTGCAGAAGCACGGTAGCGCTGGGACCCACTCACACAAATCCCACCAGGCACCGTGCTGTTTCC